TCACGCTCCGTTCGGGTCGATTTTCCCCTCTCGATCGATGAAAAAAAGAGGGGATCGAGTGGCACGCCGCGATGTCCTCGGTCGATTTTCCCCATCTATCCGTAGCCTTAACATGCGTGGAGTGCCTAAGTCGTTCGACACTGCTCTGCAGAGCAGTGTCGAGTCGTCCGTCTCTTATCCATGGATAAGAGATAGACGATATCGTCGGTGATCTCACAGAAGAGCGAATAACCACAATGAAATATTTTTAGATGCGCCATAATCCAGTCTTTCCTGACTCGTGGATGATCATTTAGGAACATTCTCGTTTGCACGAGGGAGCCGAGTCTCGTCTGCCTGGTGCGAAAGTGAATACGATTATCGATCTCCAGTCAGATAATAATAATAATTATTATTGCACTCCGGGTAGTGTTAACCCTTTGCGATCCTAGTCCGACGATCGCCATAGCGTTACAAATAAAATGGATCGGAAAGGGTTAAAATATACGCGTTCGCTTTTTCCTCAGACGATGGAAGATATAACGATGGAAGTCCTTTGCATGCAAGCAGTTTCATGAAAGTGAAGGTTTCACGAAACGACGGAAGAGTAAAAGATGAGGGAATGATGCATCATGCCGAACGCTCTAAAAACAAGCGAGCGCTAACTCCAGTTTCACTCCCATTTAAATAAGAGATGAGAGAGAAAAAAAAAGGAAGAAAATTACTCCGATTTTCTCTTCTTTTTGCTCTCGCGAAGTAAAAAAAGAGAGGAAAATGCGCAGAAAGAAAGGAAAACTGGAGTTAGTGCTAGCCTTTTTCTAAGACCGTATGGAATGATCCCCGAAGGCCGGAGATGCATCCGCCTGTTTGTTACTCGACGACCGATTTCCAAATTCCTCCCGATGGTTCGTGAAGAAGACTCGAAATGGCTTTTCTCAGGGACGGAGAGATTCAGCTGCGACATCCATCAGATGTTGGGATTCTACCCCGGGATCTACTGGAGAGTCTGCTGGAAATACGTGGCTCCGGTCTTCCTCCTGGTGAGCGCACCGAGCGACGCCCCGTTCCGTTGCGATCGGGAAGAGAGTAATGGGATGTCTGGACTCCGTGCAGCTGATCGTCGCGAGCGGGCTGTGGGATTACAAGCCGTTGACGCATCAGGAATACTCGTACCCGGCGTGGGCGGACGGCCTCGGATGGCTCATAGCCGCTTCCTCCTTTTCCTGCATTCCCCTGGTCGCACTCTTTCTTCTCCTCACCACTCCGGGACCCCTCCGCCAGGTCTTTTCCCTTCCGATCGTCTTCGTCTTTCGAGTTCGTCCGAACCAGAGTACGAGGACCGATCCGTTTGTTTCCCCGGCAGAGGTTGAGGATCCTCACGACACCTTGGAAGGATCGTCAAGCGAGCGTCGGGGTCGTGAAGGTGACTCAGATCACGGCGAACAGCACGGAGCCCGCGGGCGACCGCGTGTGAATTCCCCATCGCCTTCGTCTCTCTGGCACTCCCGGAACGAGCACGGCAGATCCACCTTCCTTCCCTCCGTCAACTTTCACGTCGCGTCGCTTCGATCCGGTCGGGACGGAGCCCCGTGCGTGCGTCTCGGCAGAGTCGCCCGCATTCCCGTCGTGGCTTCCCTGCGCTTTCTCGCGTTCTCGGACCCTACTTCTCGTGCTCACCGTACAATCGACCCTACGATTTCTGGCAGTGTCGTTCGAGCGCTCGGTCGCGAGACTTCGCTTTTCCGCCGTCGGAATGGTGATCGGTAAAAGAAAGCCATTTTAAGCGGCTCGTGGAAATTTAGCAGCCAAATCATTAGGCCATCGAGGTTCGCGGCTTTCTTCGAGAATTCATGAAAAAATATCGACGGAATCATTCCAGGATCCATTGGGGTAGCTCGGTATCATTATGGTAGCAGAGTGACAAGCGAGAGGGGGCTGGGTTTGGCCCTTCCTCCCTATACCCTCAGGGGTGACACAGGGATCTCCCCCAGTTGGAGCTCTAACAGAAAGGAAAATCATATTTTTCATTTATTTCGTGAAGCAGCTTCTTTTTTTTTTCCACGTGCCATACTTTTGTTGAAATTTGGCCGTTCGTGGGGGACGTTGCCCCCTCGATGATATAGTTGGGGGGGCACGTGCCCATTTGCCCCCCTGGGTTCGGCGCCTATGCTGTTAAGCTGTTAAGAGACTCTATAGAGGCGTTTGGATGAGGTCGGAATCGGGCGAGGAAGACTCGGGTGCAGAGTCGGAGCACGAACGAGAGCCATCAGCACTCATCGCGCATTCCCCGTCGAGAGTCCACGAATCATTCGGTTCTCCCACTTTTTCCCTCTGTAGCTGCTTCGGTTCACCTGGGGTCATTTTCAAATTTTCGTCTCGAAAAGTCTCGTCGAGTGCTGGGAGCAGGAACGGGAGAAGCATTTTCGTTCAGTCGTGAGTTTTCCGTCGAAGTACTTCGACGAGAGTCTTCGAACGACGCTGTCGATTGTTTTTCATCACGTGTGGGTCTGTGCTTATGAATTTTCGTGTCACTTTGTATCCGTGTGGCTTTACCGGCCGATATACAAACGTGTAAATACCCCCACGACTTAACTCTGAGTGTTCGTACGTGTGCGTGTGCGTGCGTGCGCGTGTCCCAGTGGCCTCACTGGAGAGAAACGAACCCGTTCCTAGGAAGAAAGTATTCTTTCCTTAGAACCATTTAGCCTCTCGTTTGACGAAACATATCAGTCATTTGTGATGTGATAGAGCCAATAAAGAAGACCTGGGGATCCCCTGCTCCTCTTCCTTCGTCACTCGGACGGGACACACCGGAACGTTCCCACGGATACCGATCCCGCACTCTCGATTCGCCGAAAAGGGTCCCCGGCGAGGGACACGTCTTCGTTCGCGGCGACACGGCTCGCAGGCGATCGAGGAGCTGCCAGACCGGCGTCTGGGAACGTCATCTCGTTTCCTTAACCCTTTCGGTCTCGAACTTCTGGTCGTCGCTTAACTTCTCTTCGCGTAAGAGCCTTCACGAGCTTCGAAGGAAGAAAACCGAACTCGAGTGGGAATTCATTCCGAGCGGCAGGGTAAGTTACTCGTTTTAATGTCACGTTTCTCGGCCAACATTTTTGGAAGAACGAGAATTCTTCATTTTAATCCTCGAGGATGAAAACGGTCGGCAAGATCTTTCGTTTGTCT